ATCTCGATGCAAGCAGCGATGAGGATCTCTTAACTCTTGGGCCCCAAGGGGAGACACGTCTATTCGGGCTTCCTGATGATCCCTCGGTGCTCACCTCCGCACATATTGGTTGGCTACGAAGGACGTGGTGGGCAGTTTCCATTCAAGTTGGCGTCTTGGTCCGAACACCTCACACAGAGCTCACCACACTCGCAAGCACATCCCCATTGGCAATCTCTCCACCCCAGATCGTTCATATATCTGCATCTTAATCCTGCGGGTCGCCTAGGCGATCTGAAGGCCGTGCTCAGGTTACCACTGCCTTCCAAGCCGTGCTGCGAAGGCTATGACATGACATGTCACTCCTGCTTCTGTCATTTCGTGTCGCTGCACGAGATCGGGCCCTGCCAGCCGTCCTTGGCCAAATACCACACCGTCTTCCCTCCACTCCACGATTACATGGTACACCGCATGCACGCATACGGAGCAGTTCCCCGGTCCCTTTGATTTGCAAGGTCGGAATTTCGCGAGACCAATCGATTCCGGCACCCCCTTCAATGGCAGAATGATGCGGCCCCCGGTATTATCATTCAGGCAATGGGGGGTGCTTCCCCCAATCCAGACCACGCAAAGATTAGCATCAAAGGATGAGTGCTACCCCCGGTGCTCATCGGAGCGTCACTGGCGGTTGCGATCTGGCCCGTTCGATGTGTGTCTTACCTCCGCATGATGCCTGGCATGAATGGACATGGTGTCTTAGGTTCAATATTCCTACTCGCGGGCCATGGAAACTCGTCACACAAGCGGAGGCAGGGGCGCCTAACATTCCGAGGCCACTCGACAGCTGAAAAGTGCCCCTTCAGGCAGTAACTAATTACTTCGAGCCCGTGAGGGAATCGCGGCGACGAGGAATGCCGTGGCTTGTTGGATCGCAAGTCTCGGGTAGTGCAACATGACCGCGAAGAAGAACTTATAGTTCTCTACCCAAATGACCTGGCGCTACGATACTACCGACACGGCCTGCTGGTGAACCCCCCAGGACTTTTGTCGAATGCACTCTCCTGTAGGGCGACCAGGGTGCAACCGCCTCTCAAGCAGGGTGGTGAGGTTGGTCGGCCACGTAAGAAGGCCTTGCTTGCTCCAGGTCGAGCAACACCAGGTTCCCCGCCTTGGGAAGTATTGAGAGAAGAGAGTGCATGTAGCGGTGTGCTCGACATGCGGAGTCATGGATTAGCGTGAAGGAGCTTCGTCCTGCTGGCTGTATGTACGGGATCGCAGGCCATGTTGAGCTCGTGCAGACGGGCACTGATTTCACCGTCGTGGGATAGCATTGAGGTATTACCGTGTTTACCACTAGGCTTCTCGGATAGGAGGGAATCCTCCACATTAGAGCCGAGTCGAAGGGCAGCAGCTTCTTACTCGAAGAATAGTGACAGGTGCTGGACGTGATGTCTCGAGATGGTTGAGATTGTGGCATGATAGGCACGCTGCCTCACTGTAGTCAGGCAGACAGCGGACAAACTGAGAACCTCGTCGTCTACGCGAAACACATGGGAAGGCAAGCAAGCGAAGGAATCAGCAAGCAGAATTGCACTATAGATGAAAGCGGAACATGTTCATTCTCGGGTATCAAACATCATCTACAGTCGAACGGTTCGCCCGCCCCTCAGGCAGCCTCCTCGGCCACCTCGACCGAGTTGGCCCCCGTCGTGGCCTCGGTACCACCACCACCACCGCCGCCGCCCCTGGCCCTCGCCTTTTCGCGGTTCTTCTCACGCATCTTCTCCCACGGCTTGAGCTTGACCTCGCCCTCGGCGCCGGCGGCGCCCGCGCTGCCGCCCTCGACCTCCTTGGCCCAGCGCACCCAGTCGGCGTGGCGCGTCTTCCACACGTCGCCCTTCCACGTGCGCCAGACGCTGCGTCCCATCCACGACTCGCGCATCTCGCCCTCGCGCGCCGCCAGCGCGGCCATGATGGTGCCCTTGACGTGGAACGGCACGGTGCCGACGGCGATGATGGCGTTGACGGCATTGTGGCCGAACTGGGTGAGGGCGAGGTCGGCGGCGCGCGGGGCGAGGCGGCCGACGAGGGCCTTGTGGAAGACGGGCGTCGCGCCGGGCTGGGCGAGGGCCGTCGTGAGGACGGCGACGTGCGGCATGGAGCGTGTCGCGAGCTCGAACAGCTGGTCCGTCGTCAGCGACGACAGGGAGCCCTGCGAGGCCTTGGCGGCGGAGCCGGGCGTCGCGAGCATGACGGCCGCCAGCTGGGCGCCGTGCGAGGCCATGGCGGCCTTGTTCTGGACGTCCTGCTGGAACTTGGGCGTGTCGTCCTGCTCGTCGCCCGCCGCCGCGCCGAGGCTGAGGTGGCAGAGCTTGGGAACCACGTCCTTCGAGTTGTTGCCGAGGGCCGCCGTCAGGGCGCGCGTCAGGGCGGCGAGCTCGGGGCCGGCCTCGCGCACCTGGCAGCGCTGGAAGAGCGTCTTGAGGATGTTGTAGCGGGCCTTGGCGACGAGCACGGGCACGGCCGGCAGGATGCTGTGGACGGCGGCGACGAGGTCGTCCTTGCCGAGGCGGTTGAGGGCGCGCAGGGCCGGGTACGAGGCAATGTCGTTGCGGACGTAGGTGGCCATGCGCGGGGCGAAGAAGTTCTGGTGCAGCGCGCGGAACAGCTTGCCGGGGGCGTGCGTCAGCAGCGTCTCGAGGATGCGCGAGCCGATGGGGTCGTAGACCACGCTGTTGACAAAGTCGGCCGCCTGCGAGTCGCCGTTGGCGAGCGACATGGGCGCCCCCGGCAGCAGGCGGTACAGGAGCGTCTCCTTGTCGGACGCCGCCGTCTTGGCCTTGTCCGACTTGTGGTTCAGCGCAATGTCGAGCTCGAGCAGGAGCTGCAGCAGCGGGTTGCCGGTCGGGTGCTTGACGAGGATGCGGAGCGCCGTAAAGTCCATGCCCGCCGTGGCGTCCTCGATGATCTTCCTCGTCGCCATGGTGAAGGACGCCGGCACGGCGCGGAGCTGGTTCGTCGGTTCGTCGGCGTTGCCAGCGTTGGGCGCGCCGTGCACCGAGATGCGTTCCTTCTTCTTGCTCTTCAGCAACGTCCTGGTCGCCGAGTCCTCGAGTGACCTGCCCGACAGCACAATGAGGAGCACGCGCAGCGTGTGCGACGCGAAACGGTCCGTCAAGAGATAGCCCAGGTGCTCCTCAAACTCGTCCAGCGTCATGAGGAACAGGTTCTCCATGGAGTTTTCAGGTTCCGCGCCGGCGGCCGCCTCGCCCTCCTGCTGCCGGCCCGCCGTGTCGACGACAAACGCCGCGGCGCCGCCGAGCTCCTGGGTCACGACGGGGGCGCTCTGCAGGAACAGGGCCTCGCAGCAGTGGCTCGCGAAGCGGTGCTGGACGAGGCTGAGGAAGTGGCCGGCAAAGGCGCCAAAGATGTGCTTCTTCTGCGGCGTCGAGCTCAGCAGGATGAGCCGCTCCATGAGCCTCGACAGCGACTGCGAGCTCGCGAGCTTGAGCTCCTTGCCGACGGCCTCGCGGTACACGCTCTGCAGGAACACGTCGCGCTCCTCCTCGGACGGGAACTGGTTGAGCTCGAGCATCTCGTCGGCGCGCTTGAAGTACTCCTGCTCCTCGTCGTCGAGCATGCCGAAGAACTCCCGCTCGGGCCGCCCCTGGTCGGCGCCCGTGCCGAAGGGGTCGTTGACGTAGTCGTCGTCGGGGTTTGGGTTTCGGTGGGCGCGCTTCGCGGCGCGGGGGCCGTCGGTGTCGGCATTGTCCCTGTCGTCTTGGCCCTCGTCGTCCGAGGTGCGGCGCCGCTTTGTCTCGCGGTTCGTCTCGGCGCCGGCGTCCTGGGCCGCTTTGCGCTTCGCCTTGCGCTCGTCGCGGAGCTGTTGGCGTTTGGTGCGAGGCTTGCCCATTGTGAGAACGGCTTGGCTGCGTGAGGGCAATGGGCTGAGGGGTTCGTCGAGTGTTGATGCTGTGCTCTCGTTTTGGACATCGAAGACGGTCCTGGTCCTGCCTTGAATTTTTTGGGACGGTCAGAGAAGTTTTGGCTATCTTATCTTATCAGTTCAATTGATAGTAGACCGAGAGTGGGGTCGGTGAACGTCGGTGGGGACCGGTGAGCGGCCAACGAGCAAGTCTGCTTGTTAGCGGCATCATACATTTGGCAAGATCAGTTGAAAACTTGAAAACCCGAGAGAGGGAGAGGGAAAGAAACAGTTCAATATGCACAGAGCTCTGCTTCGTCATGCCAAGTGGTCTACGTCTATACAAGCACTACGTCTACTCTACTGGCCCTCCTTTCCAATCTCCTCCAGCCCCTTCAACAGGCCGTCTGCCGTTCCCTTGAGAGTCTGGCAGTTGACCACGACGCGGAAGAAGCTGCCCTTGTCGCCTGGCGCGTAATCAATCATGAACCCCCTGCGGATCAGCTTGCCCACCATGTCGGCCGTCGTGCGCGTGTTCGCCTTGGCATCGTCGGAAAGATGCCCGCCCGGCGCGTAGTAGAAGCACACCTGCAGGCACGGCGGCGGGTCCGAGGACACGAGCACAAAGTCGGGGTGTGCCTGCACAATCTGCGCCAGGTGGGCAGCGACGTCAAAGGCGTGGTCAATCTGCTTCTCGAACCCGGCGGCGCCGTAGTAGATCCACGCGAGCGCCAGCTTGAGGCTGTCGCCGCGGCGTCCGCACTGCAGCGTCAGGTCGGCAAGGTCCCACACGTCGTCCGACTCGTCGACGCTGTGGAACAGGTAGCCGGCCGGCAGCGTGTTGGCCTTGTGGAACACGGCGAGGTCGTTGGTCAGGAGGAACGAGCACGTGACGGGGACGTTGAGCATCTTGTGGGGGTTGACGGTCAGAGAATCAGCGAGCTCGACGCCGGCGAGCTTGCCCTTTTGCTTCGACGAAAAGACGACGGGCCCGCCCCAGCTGCCATCGACGTGCAGCCAGAGCCCAAACTCCTTGCAGACCTTGGAAATGTCCACAAAGGGGTCAAAGGACCCCATGACCGTGGTGCCGGCCGTCGCATTGACGTAGAGGGGCGTCTTGCCCTCGTTCTTGGCCTTGATGATGAGCTCGCGCAGCGCCTCGGGGATCATGCGACCCTGCGAGTCGATGGGGACGGCCCAGACGTTGGAGGCGCCGAGGCCGCACGTCAGCGCGCTCTTCTCGACAGAGTAGTGACCGTGCGCGCTGGTGAAGAGGATGAAGGTGTGAGACCCGTTGCCGTGCGTCCTCGTCTCGGGGTACAGGCTATTACGAGCAACGACGACCGAGGTCATGTTGGAGGCGCTGCCGCCCTGGCAAGAGATGCCGCCGGCGCGGGGGCTGGTAAAGCCAAAGACGTTGGCAAATCGACGGGCCGTGACCTTCTCAATGACGCTCAGAGCCGGAGACACCTGGTACACATGAAGATTCGTGTTGAGAACAGACAGGATGAGATCAGCAACGACACCGACAGGCGTGTTGGAGGCGTACAGCTTGTCCAGAAATCCCTGGTCCCATGTGTTGACGCTGTACTGAAGGATCTTCTGGAGGAAGGACATGAGGCCGTCCTTGCCGAGACCTTCACCGTCTGGCAGGGACAGCTTCAGCCGAGACACGAGTTCCTGCGGCTTGAGCGAGTCGACGAGGACATTGGCGGACAGACCATCCGCATTGACAGGTACCTGGCCGTGCTTTTTGAGCGGCGCAGCATCGTCGGCAGCTCTGATGTAAGGGACGATCAGGTCCTTGACGGCATCGAGGAGCTGGGTTGTTTTAGTCGCGAGTCGTTCCCAGACCGTGGCCCACTCCACTCACGACGGTCAACTTACATCCTCGACCTCATCGGCCCTGTGCAGAGCCGGCGAGGCATGGTGTCCGTTGCCATTGGTATGGGTGACGGTCATGGTGACTATGACGTTAAAGGGGGGGGGGGGGGGGGGGGGGGAGGGCCCAAGGAAGAAGGGGGGGGTGATTTTAAAAGGGGTAAAGGGGGGTCCAAGGAGGGGGGCCCAAAGGAGGGGCAACAGAGGGGTTGTGGTTTGGCGATATTTTTATTGATGGGTGAGTGTCGCTTTGATGGTGAGTCAAGAATGGGGATCCGGGGGAGAAGAGGGGTTGAAAAGATGACTCGGTCGACTTCTGGGGTTTTTCCCTCTCTGCTACTCCAATGCGAATCGCCGCCAATTGATCCATCTGTAGGCCACGACGACCTAGGTACGTCAGGATTCCAATCCTGTCTTGGCCGAAGGAAGGCCTTTCTAATCAGCCGAGTCTTTTCCGGAGAGCAAAAGCCTTTTTTTTTTCTTTTTAGCGCTAATGAGGCAAATCCAAGCGGCGCCGAGGAAGCACGAGGAGGCCCTCTTTTGGTGTACCGGTCTTGTGATCGGTGGCTGTTCTTTGTCTCCTCGGGCTCGGAGTTTGGCTGTCATGAGGGCACGGCCATTGGGAGCTGGTGGTGTGCTTTGATACTGGCGTTTGCACCATAGCTAAGTACCATCCGTTGTTGTGGGCTATGGCGTTTGTCATCTGTCATTGCTGAGCCATCATTCATTGCTGAGCCATCACTCGTTGCTGCGCTTGGTATCATGCTGGTCTCGTGTCGTCACTCGATGTTTGTTTGTGTCATCGCTGCAGGTGATGTGACTGTTCAGCATCGAGGTTGTCTTTCTGCTGCACCCTCCAGAGTAGAGTCGACAACAGCGGGGTCGGGTTGGATTCACGTCACAAACAGGTGGTCCGACAGTCAGTCTTGCGACCATCAAAGTGACAGGTCTGACAGGCCAAGTGGATGCTCGACAAAGAAGGCCATGACCTGCAGAGCCCAACTGTCACGTTGTGCGACGGCCGACTGCTGCCGTGAAACAAGACTCGGATAGCAAGCGAGGAGGGGTCGAAGACGAAGGAGAAGAAGAATGAGCGACGAGGGAGGGGTCGACGCGAAGCATCCTCTCCCCGACTTGAGTCAAGCATCAAGCGTCGACGATCCCAGAGTCTTGCATTGGCTGTACTGTTCATGTACGTTGTATTGTATGGTACCCCGGAGATGCTTGCATGCCACGCGGCGTTTGCAAACTTTGGGCGAAGCTCAGGTCATGAAACTGTACACAGAGTGCAGAGTACACAGAGAACGGATGACGCCGTCGGGCCCGTGGGTGGTCAGGCCTCCCTCTCGTTTTGATGAGGCAGATGGTGATGGACATGGGATGGAGGGCTTCATGCCATCAGTCATGATGACGAGAGGCAAGCTCTTCCAGTCAAGCCCGGCTGGTCCCTGGGGCATGTGTGCACGCTAAGGGTCGTGACAGACGGCAGTTGAAGGTCGAGCCCCGTTGGGAGATGGCTCTTCTTCCCACCTTCCCCCCTTCCCCCCCTTGGCCCCCCCCTACTGGACACGCTAAGGCTGTGCATCAAAGCCCCTAAAATGCGCTAGAACTGCTAAAACAGGGGTCCAGTCCCAGCGGTTGCCCTTCATCTTGTGTCGAAAAGGGGCCTGCAAGGCACCGAGGCAAAGAAACGGGGCATCAAGGCACCGAGGCAAGAGCCACGGGGAATCAAGGCACCAATAAAGGTACGCTACGAGGCACGAGGCACGAGCCAGGAGCCAGGAGGCAGGAACAGGTGGCAGGAGGCAGCAACAGGAGGAACCGACAATCCATTGGGAAGGCGCGACGCGCAAACGGAGGCGCAAGGGGGGGGGGGGGGGGGGGGGGGGAAACCACAACCAGGGCATCCTTGCTTGTTTTCCCTGGGAAAGGGGGGACACCTCCAAGGCTCCAAAACCCCAAACCCCCCCCCCCCCCCAAGGGAAAAACTTTAACGGGGCCCGGGCATAAACGTTAAACCCCCCAAAC